TATTCTAAAAGCATCGTGAATATCTTTGGAAAGACTGTGTCTCCTTACCATACTCCTCGCTGTATACAAAATTTGTTTGTTTCTTGTTCAGATAGTCCTACGCTAGCTGTGGCATTTTGATAGATATGTTTGATTATGTTAGTGTCTTCTTCTTCAAGTACCATCTCCGCGGCGGAGGTCGGCAATCACCATAGCTATTCGGACTTTTTGAGACGGCTGCTCTGAAAAGTTTATTTGGTGTACATCCGTACCACTCACTCACGTTGCGCAGCTATGACATTCTACGCCTCCCTTTGCTTCTCTTTTCTTGGATCTTTCTCTGCCTAATCAGTTGGAGCAAGGTGTATTTCTCTCCACGTGTAGTATGTCTAAGATATTCTAATTTTCTTGTTTTAATTGTGTTTAAAATTTCCATTTCTTTATTCATTCTTCTCTGAACCTCATTGTTTGTGACGTGTTCTGTCCACGATTGTTTCAGAGTTTTTTTATACACCCATAGCTCGAATGTTTCCAGTTTTTTCATTGATGTTGCATTCAAGGTCCAAGATTCCAGTCCATAAAACAAAGTTGAAAAAACATAGCACCTCCCTAACCTAACTCTTAGTTCCAGTTTTAAATATCTGGTACATAGCATTCTTTTCATTTTGTTGAAATTTGCTCTAGTCTTTTCTATTCTGATTCTGATTTTCTAAATGTAATCATTTTTGGCTTTAATTATTGTTCCCAGATATGCATATTTGTCCACGTGTTCGACGCTGTTTCCGTTTATTAAAAGATACTCGTTATTTCTTTGAGTTTTCGATATTCTCATGAATTTCGTCTTTTTGACAATCATTGCTGGACCATACTCTTTTCCATACTATGCTATTCTGGTCACCAGTATCTGAAGATCTTCAATGATTTCCGCTTAGATCTCAGTATCGTTCGCATATCGAATGTTGTTAATGGGAACTTCATTTACATTTATTTCAGCTGTTTCACCTTCAAGAGCGTTTTCAGGATCTCTTCGGAGTAGGCATTAAAAATAATTGTCGACAATGCGGTTCCCTGTCTCACTCCACTTCTAATTTCAATTTATTCTGACAGCTGTTCGTTAACACGCACTTTTTCTAGCTGTTTATAGAAAAAAAAATAATATGATAATAAGGTCGTTGTGGTCAATTTTCTTTAATTTCAGGACATCCATTAATTGTTTATGTCTTACTATATCGAATGCTTTATTATAGTCAATAAAACATGCGTATATATCTCGATTGACGTCCAGGCATCTTTGTATCAAAATATTAAGTGAAAAAAGAGCTCCACGCGTTCCTAGGCCTTTGCGAAAACCAAATTGTGTATCATTAACGTCTATGTCCAGTTTGTGATATATTCGGTTATGGATGACTTTAAGTAGTAACTTTAGCATATTAGACATTAAGCTAATTGTGCGGTAATCGCTGCATTCTCTTGCGTTTTTCTTTTTAGGGAGACAAATAAAAATCGATGTTAACCACTCTTTGGGTAAAACACCTGAACTATAAATTTGGTTCAACAGTTTTACTAAAACATCAATGTACTTCTCATCTAGAATTTTTAGGATTTCTATAGGAAGCATGTCTGGTCCAGGGCTTTTCCCACTCTTCATTGTTTTTAATACGTCTAATATTTCTTCTTTTGTAATGTATAAACCTATTTCTAATGACGTAAGTTCTATGTGCTCCAGATCTCCTCTTTCATCGTCAAACAATTCGTCGATATATTCTGCCCATCTTTGTACTTTCTCGTCCGTATGTGTTATAGTAGTCCCGTGTCTATCCAAAATTGCACGAGTGGGATTGTGTTTTTTTAGTCCTACCAGTTCTTTTACTTTCTTGTGTAGGTTAAACAGATCATATTTATTTTGAAGGTCTTCGATTTGTTTGCATTTCTCTTTAAAGTATTTTTCTTTTGCTTGCTTTACAATCTTCCTGATCTTGTGGTTTATCTCTCTGTATTTATTGTTGTCCTTGTTTTTAAATTGTCTCCGTTGTTCCATCATATTGAGTATTTTGTCATTCATCCATTCTTCTTTTCTCCTCGCGGAAGTCTTTAGAATTTCTTTACAGACTTCCAATAGACAATATTTTAGTCGATCCCAGTACCGGTCAATATCATTGGTGTTTATGTTCAATTTGCTGCAATTTGGAAAATTTATGCATAGAGACTATGTTCATCACATTGCGCGTCTTTTGTTACTATCTACCTTTGAGGGTAAGTGTCCTAGTAGTCGGCACTGGCCCCGTTATTGGCACTTCGAATATTTTTGCTGTTTCATAAGAAAAAAAAAGTAAAGTCAGAAAAGGAGGAATCCGTAAATACTAATCGGTTCACTATTTGATAGATGGCGCATTCTTGTTTGTGAGTAATGTAGGTATTGGTTTTGGTTGTATATTTGCAAATGGCTACAGATGTTGGCTTGCGATTGTTGACACCATCCTACAAGGTTAGTTTCTTAACAATTTTCTTAAGATTGAAGTAGGTTTGCAATTTGTTTTTATTAGCGGCTCTCCATTAAAAGTGTAGTATTCAGTAATGCCCCTTTTAAAAATACAATTTAACTAAAATTTTGAGTTTATTTTTGCCTATTTTTTTAGTGGTTATTAAAAATAAAAGGGTACCGGTTACTAGGCCTTGGGGAAGTGCAAAGAGCAATGATTGGCACTAATGCCAATAACTGAAACTCCGGAATTACTGGTAAGATGTAGTTATCGGCATCAGCATTATTAACTGACATTTCGATTATTAATTATGAAACTTTTAAGATGGTTACATATAAATATGAAAAAAATAATTAGATTTTTTTTCAAAGTGAACATTTTATTTTTTTTTTCCAGATTGTTTACAATGCCAAAAATCAAAAGGAATACGAAATATCAAAAAAGATATACCGAAGAAGTCCTTCAGAGTGCTTTAACGGACATTGAAAATGGAATAGCCAAGAAACTGAAAAGAAAAAATGGAATTCTTATACAAACCCTTCAACATAGGGTGACAAATTGAGTGACAAATTTAAAAAAACTGGTCACAGGCCTACAACATACTTAACAAAACACGAGAAAGACGTTTTGGAAGAGTGGATTACTGACTACCACAGGAAAAGTTTCCCCAGAAGAAGAGACGATATTCAGTCTTCAGTGAAAACCTTCTTGGACGCCAACCCACGTAAGACTCCATTCAAGGACAACCAACCTGGAAGACACTGGTATGAAGCCTTCTTTCAGCGTTCAGCGTCTTCAGCGTTGAAGCGTCATTCAAACTTGACCCTGAAAACTCCAGAAGCGGTAACTAAAGCGACCAGCTGCGTTTCTTAGAAGGACATAAAAAATTGGTTCTCCAACATCGAAAATTATTTAAAGGAGAAAAATTATTTTGATATATTGCAAGATCCAAAAAGAGTGTTCAACAGGAACGAAACTTGTTTCCGCTTTTGTCCAAAAGAGGATAAGGTTGTCGCTCCGCACGGTGCTAAAAATGTATACCAGATGGATCAAGAAACAGCAAAGGCCAATCTTACAGTGATGTTTACCTTCTCATCTGCCGGCTCAGTAACTCCGCTGATGATCATTTACCCCTATAAGAGGCTTTCTGCTGCTGTTGGTAAAAGTGGTCCTGATACTTGGGGAATAGGAACAAGCGACAATAGCTGGATGAAATCCAAATTGTTTGTGGACTATATTTAAAATATACTCCATCCCCATCTTTGCAAAAACGAATTACAGTTTCCCGTCATTCTTTCTGTACATGGTCATAAAACTCACATGAGCTATGAACTAAGTACCCTTTCTACGAGACTTCAAATATTACTTATTGCATTATATCCAAAGTCTACCAGAATCCTTCAACCAGAAAATGTTAACTGCTTTAAACCTCTGAAGAATGGCTGGAAATCGCAGTTCTGAAATTGCGAAGAAATAATCTCTTCATTGGATTGACCAAAATTCATTTTGCACTAATATTAGAAGATTTCTTAAGGTCACTAAAGAGTTGTATTGGAAAAAAAAACAAAATGACTAGATAAAGCTGTTGGAAATGTGAACGGAAAGGAAAGTTGCGAAATGATCTATAATGACTTTATTTCCATTATTGGGCAAGATGAACGAAATCATCTTAGACAGTACAAAGAAAACTGGAGGAAAGGTGATGAAGGTGAAGATTTTCAGTTGCTTGTAAAAATATTTTTAAGACTTACAAAAGGGGCAACTGCTGAATCATGCAGTTCTAGTGCAGATGATTCCATTGTGACTGTACTGTTTGATGATGAAGAGTGTGAGTTACATCAAAATGAAGAGAGGCGTTTCGAAAAGTGTCAGCTGCCTGACCGTATTTAACCCAAAAAAGTATTAAAGATATGAAAATAGTTTTTGGAGATAGTGTACTTATACAAGAGCAACCTAAAATAATAAGCGACACTATAATGGAACCAAATTTCTAAGATAACCAACTTGGTACAATTTTAGAAAACCTAGAATTTCAACAAAACATAGAAAATCAACAAAATATCGATCAAGAACTACCGTACGTACAAGGAGGCAAGAAAGTCAAGAAAGCGAGTGCCACAATCAATGTAATACGTCAAACAATCTTTTAGTACTAAAATACCTGAAAATTCAAAAATCTGGTATCACTAATGCTTCACAAATACAGATTAAAAAGTTATGCGCCAAAGTAACCGTTGACCTACCTAGAATGGACCCCTATTAATATTACTAGAAATTAGTAATAGATAAAATCGATTCAACTTTAAAGGATAAATTTTTGCCATTTTCAAAGAGATGTAGCTTCTTCGAAAGCATTTTTGAACTAGGTAAATTGGGTAAAATGGTCTTAAAATCATCTGAAGATTATCTCTGAAGATCTAAAATTATCTCTGGTTCCCGTTTGCCTGGAGAGTTTCTTAACACCCTGTATAAAGCGTCATATACAGAGAAAAAATTGTTTCTACATAATTAATAGCCGCTAAATAAATTTTCTTAACTTACCATCATCTTCTTGACTTAACTCTTTTTTCTCTTTTAAGTCGTTAAGGATATCAATTAAATCATTGAAAGTTGAGCTATTTGTACGAGATTTCATAGTTTTGGTAAACGCATCAGCAAAATAAGTCATTGCGTCTTTGGGCATAAATTCTAATTTCATTCGTTCAGCCCATCTTGGTTTGAAAAAATATATGGTTTGGGCAAAAGCATTTCTCAGAGAAAACTCGAAGCACTTTCTACCATAATTTCTGAATAAAGAAGGCCTCTCATCAAAACAATGAGAATCAATACCTAAAATTAATCAATTAATATTATTTAATATTATGTCAATATAAAAAGTATTGTAAACAGCTTCTTACGCAAGAGAGAAAATAACAATCATGTTCCTATGAGACGAGTGAACTATTTTGAACAATCGAGTGCATAATAAGCTCACCTTATTTAGCATAACTAGTATATTATATTTTGTAAATAAAAATAAAAACTGACCTCCAGATTACGAGACCAGAAGCTAAATAACTTTCTGATACTTAGTTCTACATCTACTTTACAACTTACCAAAAGCACATTGAGATATGATGTCAGTACTAAATCTCGCAGCAAAATCTTTTGCTTCCATAACTTTTCTGTTTTTCTGTAAAAAACTGGTCATATCGCGCACAGTTTTTTTGAGTAATGGAAACATTCCCTTTATTTTACCGGATGAAAACGCAACCGTCACCTTGGATCTGTCATTTTTCCATGCAGGACTTTTCTGCAAAATATTCCTCTTGTGATTTAAAAAACACAAAGTTTGACATTTGTTTTTAGTTTCATCTAATCAAAAATACTTGCTTTAATTTGAAGCAAATTCTCTTTAACTTACTTGTAAAAACATCATGTTCCGTGTGAGAGGAGTATGATCAGGAGCAGCAACATTTCGATCAACAAAATTATTGAAATCCTTAACCAATATACTTTTAACAATCTCAGCATCCTTAATTACAAAATATGGATCATCAAAAACGTATAATCCGAAAAATGGCTTATCTATGTGGTCGTAATAATACTTTAGCCATTCTGCTAAGGTTGTTCTCAATAATACGATGTCTCGAAAATGACCAAAAATGGGTTGAACCTTTGGTGTATAGACCCCTTTTTTTTCAAAATATTTCTGTTTTTTAGACGTATATCTAAAGAGAAGGTATATGCTTACTAGAAGAACCAATACCAAATCTAAGAGAAGGGAGGAGGTAATCAGCATCTGAAAAAGAAAGAATATTGACATTATATTACAAACACACACACCCACACTATATATATTGAGATAATATTAAATATATGAGAAACGAAGGTAATCTAGAATGAACTTAAATAGTGATTAAAAAAATAATTTATATACATAAGTTATATACTAGAGCAATTTTAATCCTTTGTGGCCGGAGTTAATTTTTTCGTTTTAATACTGATTTTTTTGGTTGATTTATGAACCAATACACATAATAAGAGATATTTTTATAGAAAAAAAAATTATTTTTATTTAGTTTTTTCAAAAACATGTGGTTCTATAAATTGACCACTAGGAAACTAGACCAAAATCAGAATCAATTCTTTTGGTGAAATTTATAAAAACAATTTTTTTTTTCACTTAAACAGAGTCCAACACGACTTGTAGAACAATGCCACCTAGAACGATGTGCTTGCGCACGCGTACTGCAATGGGCACAACGAACCTTATTTCCATGGATGGGAAGATGGGCACATTTATCATATTTTATTTCAGGGGGAACTATGGTCTTAAATTTATTTGGTACACCTTGAGAACTCCTTCTGCCCTTTTTATCTGGATCTGGTTGTGCTCTAGTTAATCCCAAAGCTACAGGTAATCTAAAGTCTTTCAGAGATAAAATTGTTACGTTCTCTGTCCGGTATCTATATAAAATATAACTATTTACTCAGATAAATCCATAAAATGCCAAAATAACCTATGCCACCATTTCTTAGACTTGCGATTTATTTTGTATAAAGAAATATACATATCTGAGTGGTTGACATACCCCATATGCTTGTTGTAGTCTTTGACTATTTGAAGACAAGCAATGTCTTGAGAGGTACCATCTTTGTTTTTTCTGGAAACAGTTTGGATATCATTTGGGTTGTGGAAGTTACTGAGAAATAGAACTGGCTTGCTGTCCATCCGCTTTAGATATACTAGGCCTTCTTCAGTGATCCTCCATTCTGAAGTTCCTCTTGCCATTTTTGCATTTTGATTCTTACATTTCTTTCTCATAGTTCCACATGAGTAAATGCCATCTTTTAAAAGGTCACTGGCTAACTGGATAGGACTAAAAAAATTATCAAAATATATTTGATGATGCTTGCCTACAAGTAAACGGGTTAAATCTTTTACTACTCTGAAACCTAAACCTTCTTCGCCAGAGCCAACTTTCCATTATAAATCTGGAACTGCGATACAAACCCAAAACTATCTGCTCGTATCCAAATTTTATACCCCTTTTTATTGGCTTGAGAGGCACACATTGACGAAAACCTATTCTTCCTTTATATTTGACCATCGATTTATCGATGCTTTCATTTTCACCAGATTTATAGCAGTTTGCAAAAGTATGTGTTAGCCTGTCAATCATTGGTCGTAACTCATAGCCCTCGTCACCTTTCTGGGGTTGTACTGTATTATCGTTCATATGCAAATTTTCCAATATCCATGAAAATCGATCCCTCGACATGACCGATGATATAAAGTGATCCCTTACTTGAAATTTAGATGACCAATAGTCTTTATAACTAAGCTTCTTCGTAAGTCCTATCATCAAATTTATTCCAAGGAAACACTTCATTTCGGCAACATTCGTGGGAATAGTACGTTCACCAAATTGCTGCGTTGCATACCGATTTGTTAAGAAAACCATGGTTTTCAATTATTTCATTCGGAAATAGACATAAAAACGTATCTATAGGACTTTAAATTTGATCAGATATGCTGGGTCTAAAACTTTCGGTAAAGGGTGCAGTTGTAAACAAATTTGCATTACTCGTCCATCTGAATTTTTGATTTAGAGCTGCCTCAACGTCAGCATCCTCGTCATTCTCACTGTCGCTATTATTTAAAACTCGTCATTCTCATCTAATTCATCCTCAGATGGAGCCCCTGAAGTGACAGACTCTAAATCTGATGGTATTTCGTCAATCAAATCATATATCTCGTCTGAGGCCAACTTCCTAATGTCCATGACCAACACCTGAAGTAAAACAAAAACAGAGATGTAGGCATATACCACTGTCCTGGTGGTTTCATAGGAGAACCACACATTTTATTTACAAATAGTAAATTTATGCTAAGTTTTACAAACACCAAATGATCAAATATCACAAAAGAACCGCATAACAAACAGAAATAACAAAAAACTTACCGAAAAATTGCTGATTTCAAATAAAATATGTTTGTCGTTTTTCACTTCACAACACTCGTGACTTATACAAAACAGCTTTCGATTAGTGTGTCTGAACAATAAAATAATACGGCGGCAAGATTTGTATAAAACGGGAACATACACAGAAATGCACTCTGACAGTGTGGTTCCAAGCAATCACTTCTAGGCCGTTAACAAAAATTATTTTATTTGTGGTATGTTCATGGAACCACTAGGCCCCAAAGGGTTAAGAAATTAGCATAATAAGTTTAAAAAGTCTTTATTTTGCAATGTATTTGGTTATTTTAAGAATTATGATAATATAAATATATTTGAGTACGCCATATATAGGCAACCAAATATACACTGAAGTTAATTTGGTTGTGGTAACTTTTGTGAATAATTATGGATTTAAAATAGTGTGACTTATTAATTTAAGATGTTTACTTTATATATAAGTTTACATTCTGATCTAAAAGCCTAAATTTCTATAAAATTCTCGATAGAATTATCTAGAACTTTAAAATATAAGAGGTCAATAGAAAGAACCTAACCTTATTTTCGTAGTAGAATGTTCGCGAGTGTCTATGAAATAGAAGGATTCGCATATATTTTCTTTCAATAATATTCGGGAACATTGAAATGATATAAATACTCTGTAATTTGGAGGAAAGAGGACAGTATAGAGTAGTCAATAGTGAATATTAGACAGTATATAGTATGCAGTGGACAGTATTACAATATTAAAATCAGTAATGCAGTATTCAAGATAGTCAGTAATCAATGATTTAGTATTAAAGTTTTATAGTATTGGAAAGTATATTAGATCAAGATTAAAAAATAGTCTTAAGAGAATATTAGTTGGAGATTAAAAATTATATTATTTATATGGTGATTCGAAGAGAATAAAACTATAATATTTATATGGTGATTGGAGATTAAAAGAAAAAAAAGGTTAGAAAGAAGAATAAACAAGAAAGCAATAAAGAAAGAAGAATATTTTGCCGTTTATAAATCCTGTTAAAAAGAAAAATATTTTAAAATTATGGAAGCTGATAATTAAAACATTGTGGTGTATTTGGGAAAGCAATTTTACAAAAAGAAGGATAACCGAGGGTGATAACGAATGATTAAAATCTTTATTTTGGAAAACAGCTTCATTTAGGCATTCAGTGACAGAAAGTTACCAAATTTTGTTAATATAATTTAATTAATGTAATAAGAATTTCAATTTAAGATAGGGTGTTCTAAATTTACATTGTCTATATTATATATATATATATATATATATATATATATATATATATATATGTGTGTGTGTGTGTGTGTGTGTGTGTGTGTGTGTGTGTGTGTGTGTGTGTGTTTCATAATAATTATAAAAGAGAATTTCAAAAAGTGCTTATACAAACTTTGAGAACCGCGATAAAAACCCTATATATATTCTTTTTAAAAATACTCATTGCTCATAAAACTATACACAAACAAAACATTATAGCAATTTGGCGCCCACCGCGGGGCTCTCTATTTAAAAGAATTAATTTGCGAAGATAAGTGCTCTCATATAATGAAATTAATTTTTAGTTAGAAAGAAAAAAATTATAGTATAAAAAATTATAAAAAATTATTTTATTTTAATTATATTTGAACAAGCAAAGTCTCAAAATGTCTCAAGGAAAGAAAGGTACAACAAGCAAAAAAGTGAAGAACATATGGAAGTAGAAACAAAAGCTGTATAAGAGGAGAGTTTAGTTCCACAAGATACTGTAAATGAATCAAGAAAGAGGGGAAAAGGTCAATATGGCAGCTTTGATGTCATTAATGATGCAGATCAACAAGACAATGGAAGAGAATAAAAAAATGGAAGTAAATTAGAAAGAAGTCAAAGAAGACATAAAAAAATGGAACAGAAATTGGAAGAGAATTATAAAAAATTAGAAAAGAAAATAGAAGATAATAATAATAAAATTGCAACACAAATAGAAAAACAGATAGATAAAAAACTTTAAGCTGAGGAGAAAAAAGTAGCAAATAAAATAAAAAATAAACCGTATGACTACCAGAAAAGGATAAAAAATGAGAAGACAGAAGTAAATAGGATTATTCAAGCTAATATGATAGATTTAGACGATATGCAACAAAATATCCAAATAAAATAAATACCCGAAATAAATCTTGAAAAATCCCTATACGTAACTAATAAAAAACATCGACCTAAATTACAAAATCCCCAAAATTTCAAAAGACAAAAGTAGTCGGTAAAACTGACAAACAAAACGAAACAAGCACTTACTTAAAATTTGCAAAAAGAGTCCGAAAACTTATAGACAAAACTTCTCTACTGGACGATCCTATCCCTGAGAAATCTTCCCAAGATCCAACAAATGCTGAATAATGGTTATTTTGCCGAAGAAATTGGAAAATCCAGAGAAACCTCATATTATCACAGACACATTTTGCACATAAATTTACAAAAATTGGAAGAAACCTTAGAAAGAAATCCTATTTAATATTTTAAAACCCCTATTAAAAATAGATCTCTGGTCTCATTGTATTCTTAGTATAATCACTTACATGATCTAGCTAAAGACAATGTACATAAAATATTTAGAACACAGATAAAATAACTTTTTAATTTTCTTGGTACAGCTATCAAATATGTAACAAGTAATCAAGATAATTCACATTACTATTCAATTCACTAGATATGTTAAGAACACACATACAGCTATTGAACTTAAAAAAAATTTAATCATAAAAAAATTTTACAATCAAATATCATTTGGACAGTAAATTGATACAAGATTAGAAAAACTTATAAACAAAATTAATAATA